GATAATTCGAAATTAATATATTTCAATATATTTCATTTGATCCATTTGATAGAAATAAAATATCCAAATTGATTGATGGAATAAAGTTTAATGTTGAATTATAATCGTCTTTTAAACTTTGAATTAAAATCATTATTATAAAAAAACGATTGAAGACTACACAGATAAAACCACAGATTTCACTTTTGAAAACTTCAAGTTTTATATAATTTTATGATTTGTTAGTACTAAACTATTTTAGTTTAAAAGTTCATAACAAAAAACTATGTTTTAAGGTTATACGGTCATTTAAAAAAAAGGCAACTTTGAAACAACCATTGTTGTCCGATGTATACCGCGTAAAAAACACAGTTGTCCAAGTTATTTATAACTAAACCAATGATAATACAACCGTAAGTTACATGACTAACTTTTGGATGAAGTAAACAACATTACGTTCAAAGGAAAACATATAAAAAAATATATATTTACAATTATTAAAAAAAAAAAAAAATTATGTGTATATATATATATATATATATATATATATATATATATTTATATATATATATATGTATATATGTATGTATATATATATATATATATATATATATATATATATATATATATATATATATATATATATAGATACATATATATATATATATATATATATATATATATATATATATATACATACACATATATATATATATATATATATATATATATATATATATATATATATATATATATATATATATATATATATATATATGTATATATATATGTATCTATATATATATATATATATATATATATATATATATATATATATATATATATATATATATATATATATATATATATATATATATATATATATATATATATATATATATATATATATATATATATATATATATATATATATATATATATATGATGTTCTGATGTTGTGTGTTTGTGTGAACACAGAAATAAACCAAATACATTCTTTTTCATTTTAACCTTAAAAAATGCATACCAGTTTACCTTCGCTGAATATAGATACATAAGAAATAGAGAGAACCCAATCAACTAAATTTCAAGGCATACTTATGATTGAGAACATCTCATGGAAATCACATATATTAAATACCAAAACACCAAAAAACATTGGTATCCTTTACAAAGCTAGTTCTATACTGTCTCCTAATAATTCAAAGTATACTTCTCATTCATACAAAGCTATTACATATTCGCTGAAGTTGCATGGGCGAGTAATAATAAATCCAAAATAACTACTCTATATCAAAAACAAAAATATGCTGCAAAAATAGTTTTTAATAAAGATAGACTCTTGCATGCTTTAATTCTCGCCATTTATAAAAAGTTTGAAAGCATTAAATATAAATCAAAAATATAAATTCTAAAATTTTTTATTTATGCTTAAAAATAAAGTTGGACTTATTCCTTCTCATTTTCAAAGAATTTCTTTTTAAATAAACTATTTTTAATAAGCCTTAAAACTCTTAATAAGTCAAAATCAACTGCAGCAACAACAACAAAACAAATAATAGATAGAAGGCTTATTTCTTAACACGTAAACGACTATATATTACCTATTTAGCAAATCATGTACCTACTTATGTTTATGTGTATTTAAATAAAATTAAAAAAATTAAAAACTATTTGTTTTTTTTAATTTTATTTCTTTTAAACTTTTTTTGTGTGAATTTTTTGTTTTTTGCATTTCGCATTTTTATTTTTGATCTGACGAAACTAAAAGCATTATTTTTTTAAACATAAACTTTATTTAAATTGAAGTATGCAAAAATATTAGTAGCGCAGAGTGGTTTCTTGATGATAAGACCATCGTTCATTTGCAAGTTTCCCGCGTTCTTTAAAGTAGTTTCTAATACTTAACAGTTTTATTTTATATATCTTTTGTATAACATAACGTGTGGTTTATTTAATTAAGTCTTACTATATTCTGTAGACGATTCTATTATATTTTACCAATTTGTAAAGAATGAAAAACAAAAAGGTTAAAAAAATAAAAGGTTGTCTAAAAAATTGAAAATGTGATATGTTTAGTAAATAGGCTATTTTGTAAATGTCTCAAAATTCAAACTCATTAGAATTGTTTGATTAGAAAGATTTATATAATTACGGAGGGTAGTGATTCTTAGGGAATGGTTTGGAGAATTTTGAGCTTAACAATTTTGCTGTCTAGTATACCGTATCTCAAGAGATATCTAATTAATGTAATAAAAATTTAGATTACAGTTGTGAAACTTTTTTATAGATAAGTAAATTATTTCTACTTTTTGTTTTTAAACTACTTCCCTTTCAAATTTTTATTATATTTTAATTAAATTCTCAATTCAATTTTATTGTATTAAATCTATTTTAACCTAATTTTTTAATTTTTAAAATGTTAAAGAAAATTCCTTTTATCAAAGTTTTGTTTCAAGTTATTTTTGTACAAAGATACTAAACACATTTACTACTGTATACAAATGGATTACCGAATAAACCATGGTTAGGCCTATATGCAAATAATTTTAAGAGAACTTTTTTAGTGTCATTTATATAACAAATTTATGAAAAGATGATTTTATAGGTTTGAGCTTTTTAAGGTTATCAATAAACTTTTAGATTGATTAAAGAATAAGCGTCCATTAGAAACGATTAACTAGTTTATGGATACTAATTAAAGATTTTTTTAAAGCCAATCTCTTAAAAAAACAATCGTCAATAGCTATATTTTTGATTTTAACTTTTAAGAAATTCTTCCATAAACAGTTGCAGCCTCATTTGCAACAAAGTAACTAAATTGTGAGAAAACAAACAAAATACAACGATAATGTGTTATGAATGTTTTTTGAAGTAGTATACGTTTAAATAAGTATAATTATTTTAAAGTGAAAAAATACTGTTTTTTCAAACAATCTATTTAAATTATTTTGTTTTTTTGCTTTTTATAATACAATGTTGTTTAATTTAAAGATATTTTACAAATATTTTATAAAGATAATGAATTTAAATGATTTTTAACATAGTTTCAAATTATATTTAACTTTATTGCAATATATTAAAATACGCTTATGACGTAATTTAACTTTTAACGAAGTAAGTATGTATATTACGTAAAATTACATAAACTTGCGTTAAGCTTTTCGTTACGCAACAAAATCTCTTAACAAGGACTGTAGTATTTTTTTTGACCCTTAATAGTCATGGAGGAATGTAAGAAGAAAAAATAAAAAAGAATTTTTTTAATGTGAAAAAGACTGTTACTGAATCACTTTTCTATTTATTTTTTAAGACGCAAACATATAAACGACGTGAATTTAGTTACAAACCTAACATAATTTTAGAATAAAGTTCATTTACAAACACTACTATTATACTACTACTTAAAGGAGAATCCAATTTCTCTACCATCATTTCAAACAACAAATTGTTTCACTTAAACATTACATTTTCTAACTTTTGATGGTATATTGAATTACAGTGTATATTTACGTTTTTCATTTATTTTAAGAAACATATTTGCTTCATTAAATTTTAATATTGTTTTAAAAAACCAAGCAAAACATAAACATACAATCAATCATGGGCACCCGCAGACTTTTTAGATGTTTTAGATAGAACACTTTTACGCCTTGCGCAAATTCTAAATATAAGAATGTTCATTCCTATACCAAATAAGAAGGCCTTCAAACAAACTGAAATGGCGGAAGCCTGGGAACAGAACACCCTAAAAAAATTGCCCGCCCCCAGCCCAAAACTATGGAAACCAATTTTATACTGTAATGTACATTATATTTTTTTCTATGTTTTGTAGAACAAAATATAGAAAAAAGATAATACACATTACAGTATCAAATAAAAATTTTTATTTCTCTCTTTTTACCTCTCTTATAAAATCTGATGAAAAAATAGTGGATATAAATTAGTTATCTACTGAAGGACAATTAGATTTCAATTCTAGGACAATTAGAAGATAGTGATATAGTTAGAAAAGTTAATCAAGGGATTTGATAACTTTTGTCATTATGTTAAAGTTTAGTTAAAAATATTGGTAGGATATTCATAATTGTGATTTTTCATCATGTCATCTGAGTCAAAGATTGATTATAGAAAGCATCAATGATAAACAATTGACAAAAAAGATCGACAAAGGCTTTCATTTCACAATATCAAGACTTAGTAGAAAAGTGGTTATTGTGTCTCAGCTATAAAAAAGAGTTCTGGCAGGCCAGAGGAAAAAAAAAACTAATTGTATAGGTTTTGAGTCATTAAATGATGGAAATATGGTCACAAATTTATAGAAGCATATACATTTTTTAATTTGAAGTTAGCAATTAGTTGTTGTTACAGTATTTGTTGCAATAAACTTGTTACAAGTTATGAATTGTTACAATACACTCTGTCTTTGTTTCAATTTATTATTTTTATTTCTTCAATACTATTTGCAAATCTTGTTTTAAGCTCATTAACAATTTTTAATTGTAACTTTTCTTTTAAGCTCATTTTAAGACAAGGAAAATGAGCTTAGAAAAAAAGTTGTTCAAATATAAAAAATTTATTTTTAACTTTTTTTTTTTAACAAATAAATCGATTAACTCCAAATTTATTGCTAAACCATTGTCCAAGCAGCATTACCGTTCAGAATATTAACCATCGAGAAATCAGAATATAATTTATATATAATTTATATACACTAAAAGGCTAACTTTTTACACAGCAGTTATATAAAATTGATAAACTAAGTTGAAGTTTTTTAAATTTAAACTTAAATAAGATGGAAAGTCCATAAAATTTTTTCTTCTTGGCAAACGACATTTTTGTTTAAGTTATAGATATCTGTTTTTAAAAATATAGAGTTTATTTATTTTAATATTTATTTATTTTAAGATTTTATTATTTTAACAGTTTATTTATTTTAACATTTATTGTTTTTGAAAATATAGAGTTTATTTATTTTAACATTTAGCTTATTTATTATTAAAATATTTAAACTGATTTAGGTTATGAAGAGTTGTTAAATAGCATAACAAACAAGAATGAGAAAGCTGCTGCAGAAAAAATTCTAAATTCCCCCTTGAAAGGTACTTTTGATTTTACTTTTCAAACAAAAAAAACTCATACTCTTTAGACTTGCATTTATTGTCTTTTTAAAATTGGGCAAGTAAAAAACTTTCTATACGTTTGTTAAATAGCAGGTATTTGCTAATACGCATCTCTAAAGTGGGTATTAGTAAAATAAAGTTCACTTACTATTTATATAAATGCCCAAAAAAGACATAGGCAACGGGCCAACACTGGCGCGGCATCTAAAATAAATATATAAAAATTACACAAAAATGTAATTTTCAGATATTTTTGATATACGGCTGCTACATGGCAGGAGGTAAACAAGGAATTCAAAATAACATCAGCACGACAACCGCATCCAATTAAATAAAGATGTAACTTTTACGTATTTCTAAAGGGTGTTTGTTTATCAGCAGGACGGTAACGTAGACGTTACAATGATATTATCGCAATGTCTGCATTTAAACGTATTGCTTATGTCTTGCTAATGAGCAGATGACAATCAAAATTACATATACACTTACATTTATATATATATATATATATATATATAATATATATATATATATATATATATATATATATATATATATATATATATATATATATATATATATATATATATATATATATATATATATATATATATATATATATGTATATATATATATATATATATATATATATATATATATATATATATATATATATATATATATATGTATATATATATATATATATTTATATATATATATATATATATATATATATATATATATATATATATATATATATATATATATATGTTAAATATATATATATGTATGTATATATATATATATATATATATATATATATATATATATATATATATATATATATATGTTAAATATATATATATATATATATATATGTATGTATATATATATATATATATATATATATATATATATATATATATATATATATATTTGAGTTTTTAAGATTACGATTAATAAATATACCTGTGGTAATACTTATAATGTGCTCAAGCAACAATGTCAACTCGAAATTCGCAAATATTATTTTTTTCAACGAGTTGTAAATACCTGGACTAATCAGAAAATCAGAAGCTGTAAACGCAGAAAACATTTTCATGTAAAAAAAAAAAATGCAATTTTTATAAACACTGCTTCTATAAAATAAATGAATAAAATCTTGAATGTTTGTATTACAAACATTATTTGTTCAATATGCACATTTTTTAAATACTTATTTAGGGGCATATTGTCAGTGTCCATTTATTTGCCCTGTTTGTCCTTTTGAAAATGTAATTTTTAAACTTATTCTTATAAGTATTTATTTATCTAAAACTTAGTTATAAAACAAGCCATATAAATTAAAACAAAAATTAAATTTGTAGTAGATTTGTCATTAAATCTAAATAAAAACGTCTATAAAATTATTTTCGATATATTATATTTTGCTAAGAAGTTTTGATATTTTTTCAATCTAGAAGTCTCTTAACAGTCCAAGTCGTCCTCATAGTCATAAAATCTTTTAAATTCTCCAAGGAGTATGCTTTAATGTGATTTTTGGCTCTACGTTATAGTTATTTTTTATTTTTTATTTTCTAATTATTATTATAAAGTTGATGTTTTTTAATCCAAAAGAACTTGGTGTTTTTAAATCCAACAGACTTTAAACTGGACCAGCCTCAGGAACATTAACTTGGTTCCTAATTCTTTTTATATGTGATTTTTTTACTGTCAAGAGTTGTTTTGACAGTTTTATTTATAATAAGGTAATAACTCGCCAGGCTAAAACATACTATTTAATTTTTGTGACTGCAAGATTTTAAATCAGATACAACTGTTAACGCTATAACGCACTATTCAATCTTTAAGACTTCCAGGAATTAAATATTGCTCAATTCTTCTGAGTATAGCGTTATTTAATATCACTTTAATGGTAGCTTTAAAAAGGTTTGACTTTAACACTGAATTTAAATTTTACATTTTCTGCACAAGCTTTAATACCATCTGTGAAAAATTGATTCTTACAAGTAAATATATGTGTTCAGCTGAGTGAAAATATCATTATTCAAAACTAAATTACCAATTTTAAAATATTTGTTAAGTATATAGCACTCTCACATCGGAAAAGTAGGTTTTAGGTTTTAGTTCAGAGTTCTCTAAATATTTTAATGAAACTTTTATCAGTGTCTCTTCAGGATACTGTATTAAGAAGCTTAAAAATCAAATTAAATACTAATAAAATAAAATTATTAAAATCAATATAAAATCAAATTAAATACTAATAAAATCAAATCAAATACTAGCATTTTTCGAAAAAAGCGATTTCAAACTTTTGTTAATTATTTTATAAAAATTAAGGGGGTGAGATTTATGAAGTTAAGGTTTTCTTTATAAAAAGCCAATATTACCACTTTCTAATTATGTTATAGTTAATCCAGAAATGCAGGTTAATAACTTTTGATCATCTTAAGAAAGTAATTATTTTATAGAATTTTTGATGGAACCATTCTTTACTTTATATATAGTCATTTATTTAATATAGTATAAGAATGTTTCAAATCCGTATATTTGTTTTGTTTTTGTTTATATTGAAAATAAACTATTGTATTAGATAAGTGCCTAATTTATTATTTAACAAAACAGTAAACAACAAAGAAAAACTATACTATTCATGGAATCAGAAAATTATTTGTTGTTGTTTGAAGAAATGCTTAGTTGAAATGAATTAGTTGCTTTTGTTTAAAGAAATGGTTAAAATATATTCCAGTCAGGAAGTTATTAGAGACTTACACAAGACTGTATGTAAAACCTAAATTTAATATCTGTGTAAAGTTATCTGATTTAATATGTAAAGTTGTGTAAAGTTACCTGATTTAATATCTGTGTAAAGTTACCTGATCTAATATCTGTGTAAAGTTACCTGATTTAATATCTGTGTAAAGTTATCCAACAGGTATATTCCATATTATGATTAACTAATGCAATTGTTTTATTAAGAATTACTTTCTAAAAATAATCAATATTTAAAAATGAAACTAGTTTAGTTAGACATTTGTCCAACATGCAAAAAGTATGAAAACTTACTAAAAGACAGTAAGGATTTACTAAATACAGATAAAAGTTGATGGCAATCATCTTAATTATTTAGATGTGTAAGCACTAGAAATTGTGAAACATGCACAGTTTGTTCAAAGGCTAGATCGAGATTAAAACATGAAAAAAAAAGAAATTTGCAAGTTTAAATATGATGTGTAACATTTGCTTATGTATGATTGAAAGAGGAATTCAACATCAATGGACTGAAATTAATTAGTATACAAATCTTCCGTCTGAGTTACTTATTGGTTGGGAGAAAATTTCAGGAAAAAGTCACTTCGAATGATTTAAGAGCGATTATTGAAAAAAAAGAAACATAAGCATGGAATTCAGACAAATCTAAATACTGGTAGTTTGTTTATTTATTAGGGTTTAAGAATTGATTAATTCATTAAAAGTATTATATTATTCAGGTGGGTTGTCATTACCTATAACTATCAGTATTTCTCCATTAGTTATTAGTTATTAGTTATTAGGGATCTCAAGTGTGAAGAAACTGAAACTATAATTATTGGACTCGGACTAAGTCAATTTAAATTATTCATCCTTCTGAAACCCTTAAGGAAAAGGGTAATTCCATTTGAGGCAAATCTTGAAAAAGAACTAAACTAAAAAAGTAAATTCCTTTCTGAAAAATATTGTCAACAGATGTATCAAGAGACCTTGTTTATGTTTGTCAAAAAGCTGCTTAACCTTGTAATGACTTACAAAATGCAAAACCTTTACCAAACATTAATACAATTTGGAATTGATTCAGGTAAAAACATTAGATGAAGAGATAATATATAACTTATATATAATATAGAACTTATTAAAAAAATTTTTTTGAATTAATACTAATATTATGTAGGAGGTGGATTACTTAAGGTAATATGTAACTTCTTTGGTTCAGAAAAAGAACAATGTAAAGATGAATTCACCATTTTTCACGAAAGTTTTCACGAAACATCTGAAGTTAATCATTTCATAGTTCTTGCATACTGTCACAACTTGCAGGAGACACATTTAATTGGATCTTCTAAAATTAGAAGATTGTAAGTATGTTTTTGCAGCTGATTTGAAAATAATTAATATTCTTCTTGGAATTTCAGTAAGTTACTTAAAATAATTTTTTATGTAACTTTTAATTTGTTAATTAGAATTTTAAAAAAACATAAGAAAAATTTATTCTCATGGCGGTAAGTATGATTGTGCTTGGGGTGAAGGAAAATGTGAACTTTTTGGTGGGTTGACAAGAACATTTTTATTATTGGATCTATGGCATCAGAGATATAAGGGTGTCGGTTATCAAAGTACTGAAATGAAAGATTATAAGGTGTAAATGTAAATTATAAGTTAATAAACCAATTTAAAAATCTTTTTTTTTATGAAAAAAATTAGTTTTTTTCATAATTGTTAATCCAATTAATAAGCTTTAATAAATTGTGGTTAATGTATGCCTAGTAAAGGAGAAAAACAAGTCGATACTAGTTCTTGAAGTCATTCCTTTGCTAGAACTAAATGTTAATCGGATTTGTAAATCATATATCAACTTATGTAATTGTTTACTGGCCTGATTACAAAGACTGGGTCGACTCATTTGGGTGTATTAGAAGAGGATACTATGGGGGAACATATGAAGGTAATACATGTAGTAATACAGGTTTATTCTTTAAAACTCTGACCAGTGGCACCCAATAGAGTTCTTACCACTTCTATGGATAAAAAAAAAATTTTAGAAATTAGTTCAAGGAACCTTCGGAAGTTATCTTAACCTTGGTTATCTTTAACCAATAGCTGAAATTGGTTGTTTCTACAAAGTCACACAGAAGTACTGTTTAGAGGTACAAATAATTATAAAGAACTTGCTTTAAATTGACTTTGTACTATATATCATTATTATATTCTATCTTACAGAATACTTTTTTAGTTTCTAGGAAAGAAACTTACTGTGACCTGGAAAATACGTATAATCTCAGCTCACTTGCAACAGTTTATTGAACTTATTGGTCATTCTCTTAAACAATACAATGAACAGACGTCTGAATCGGCTTATTCAAAAATGAAGCCAATAATCGAACGATTCAATGTTTCACAACCAAGCTCAAAGTACTCTCTTAGAAGCAGATGATTTGCTGAATTGTTCAGCATTACTAAATCACAGATTAGAAAATTGAGATATTTTGATTTATGTTAATAAACTTAAAACAAATACTTTTTTCAAATTCTTAACTAACAATTTAAAAACATCTTAGTTTTTTCTATTATTTTTATTTTATAACATAAATATTAATCAAGTATATAAGTTAGGATTATATTTATTAAAACGTTTTTTTAAAAGAGTTTAACACTTTTTCTCCCCTTGAAATAAAAAAATTTCCATGTCAAAGCTGAAGACAACTTTTTTAGTAATTCAGGTAACTAACTTCCACACATGGTGGACACTCTGATACGTTCATATTTATATCAAATAAGGATGTAATGCCAAATTTGTGCTATTCAATATTTGGTGTGTAATAACAACATTCCGTTGTTATGTCAACAACGTTTAACGCCCGTCCTAAGTTGAGGGGTATTTAAACTTTATATGATCATAATTTTTGATCATATAAAGTTTACTTAATACTTAGAGAAAATTGCATGTTTTTTTTTTTTTTTAACTTGTTAATTTCACCAGGATGGAGCCAAAGTTTAGGGTTTTTCTTGTTCCCAAGATCCAATCATCATATATTTTTGCGCAATATACTTATTTGACATAAACAAGATCATGTTAATTTTTAGAGCATCTTAAACACTTTAAAACTTTTTCTAAAAATTGCCTTGCATATAAAAAATTTTTTTGAATTTTTTGTTTTTTAATTGTTTTTTTTTTATAAACGGCTCACTTTGATTTTTAAGCTCCTAGATACAGTATCCTAAAGATTCACTAATAAAATCCTGAAGAATCACTGATAAAAGTTCCCTTTAAATATTTGGGTAACTGTGACCTAAAATACCAAACCTATTTTTTTGATGTGGGTTTATTCAAAGTTTCAATATATAACTAAGTTGTACCTAAATCTATATCAAAACTGAGTTTTTTTTCTATTCAGAATTGTGGACTATTTTTGTTAAAATGTTTTCCAAATATTGTTGCCGTAAAGAATATTTCACTTAAACAGTTTAACCTTGAATTAAAGCGGTCTTTATTACACATAGTTATTTATCTATCTTGTTTCTTTTTAAATAGATCAATAAAATCATCTTAAACACTTAAAATAAACTAAAAAACAATGTAATTAATAAGTTATTCTTAAATTTAATTAGCCTATAAGTTAAAAAACTGATCCAATAGTCACTGGCATCAATCATTATTATCAACCGCATTTTTTTTTTTTATTGTGTTAATTGTTTGTTTCTTGTTGTTTTTTTTTGTTTTCTTTTTTAACTTTATCTTAGTAACTTATCGTATTACTTTTTATTAGAACAATTTTACTATAATGTTAATAATTTCGCACACATTTTTTCTTAGTTTATACTTTACACTCTTGGAAAAAATTTATATATAATATATATATATATATATATTATATATATATATATATATATATATATATATATATATATATAAATATATATATATATATATATATATATATATATATTTATATATATATATATATATATATATATATATATATATATATATATATATATATATATATATATATATATATATATACATACATATTTATACATATATATACATATATATTTATATATATATATATATATATATATATATATATATATATATATATATATATATATATATATATATATATATATATATTATGTTGAATTAGGTGCCCCAAGAAGTCCTTACGGTCTTATCACAGAGCACCGCGGAAAAGCATTTAATAGGAAGTTCACGCCTCCTTCCCAACCGATGTCGCAAAACTTGCCCAGAAGTGGGTTTGAACCACGGATCTTACGTTTCTGAGGCAAGTGCGCTACCACTGCGCTACGGCTGCTATATATATATACATATATATATATATATATATATATATATATATATATATATATATATATATATATATATATATATATATGTATATATATATATATAGCAGCCGTGGCGCAGTGGTAGCGCACTTGCCTCAGAAACGTAAGATCCGTGGTTCAAACCCACTTCTGGGCAAGTTTTGCGACATCGGTTGGGAAGGAGGCGTGAACTTCCTATTAAATGCTCTTATATATATATATATATATATATATATATATATATATATATATATATATATATATATATATATATATATATATATATATATATATATATATATATATACATATAAATATATATATATATATATATATATATATATATATATATATATATATATATATATATATATATATATATATATATATATATATATATATATATATATACATATACCCAACGGGCATTTGTTTTAAAAAGTTATGTTCTAAAGGTCTTTTAAACGTTTTTTAAACGTCTTTTAAACGTTCTTTACGTAAGAATGTTTTTTTAAAGCTTTTATTAACTAAGAGTTAATGATAGGAGGAGTGGGACTTTTTATTATACAATATAAGTATTCTTTACAAAAAAAATTAGTTTATAAATCCCCAGACAGCAAGGATATAGTGATCCCGCACTAGTCCCATATAGGCTGCCGCGCTTGACCGGCTTTGGCTGCCAACGCTGGCGAAGCTCCGTTTTGCTCTAAGGATTTTTCATGGACCAGCTGTGGCTAGCCAGCGATGGCAAAACAGCGGCTAGCCAGTGCGGGACAAGAACTGGCTGAACAACGGTTAGCCATTTTTACATACATATTTTACATACCATTTTTACATACATATTTTACATAGCGTACAATAGTGATTTTGTTTTTGTTAACTAACTGGGTTGCGCATGGCATTGTTGTGAATTTTCATTGGGCAATCCTATTTGCAGTTTCTATAATTTCCTTTTAGACCCCGTCTTTTTGTTGTTTTTTATTATAATTTAAATGGTATTATACTGAATAGTTTGTTTAAATTTATTAAGTTGTTTTTAGCATATTTGACTATAATTTTTTGGTTTAGAATTGGCGTATTTTTCATTAGTTTAAGGACAATAAAATCTATTAAACACATGATTATTGACAGTTTTAATTATTATAAATATATTTAAAAAAACAGGCTTAAATTTTAGAATATATATTTACGCAAGTATAATACAAATATTTGATTCGTAACCATTCGACAATGGTGCTTTTCTGCAATTCATATCCCATCGTCAACATGATTCATTAAATTTATGCTTCAATTCGTAACGTTATTTTCTTCTATAGTGCTTGCATCCGTTTTAACCTTAATAAAATAAAAACAAACATTACCACAACTGAATAATTTATTACATATATACTTATACAATATAGTAACAACATATATATGGTCACAACTTATAAACATTACGGTTATCATGTTACAATAACAATTATTTTTATTATTGACAAAAAAGTTCAATAATAAACTTGTCAAGTCTATGTAACAAACCATAGTTACATAGACTTGACACAAAATTATAAAAAGATCCTTAATCTTTTTAAAGCCTTGTGAACTAAAATGTAATGAATTTAAACAATAAAGTTTTTAAATACATTTGTATGAAAAGTGAAAAAAACGACTTTCAAGATGGAAGCAAAATTCTGTGCAGTAAATTTAAATGCTCTTGTTTATATCATTATTGCCACTGATGGGCCAGTATCGGCCCAACGTCTGTTGTTCTGCTTCGGCAAATCTTTGTTGGACCATTAATAGCTTTTTTGTGGCTACCCAGCTCAGCCAATTTTATAAAGGCTCGGCAATGGCTCTGTTACGGCTTCCCAAAACTAGCAATACAATATGTAACTTTATCGGACCTTTAAAGAATTCGCTGGCATTGGCTAGCCATTATCGGACCAGTATATGCTTGCTGTCTGGGTCTAAATAAAAAATTTTTAATAAATACACTTAAAACTATTAAACTCTAGCGTGGCTTAAACTATTTTCAAAATTGAAAACAAATTTTGAAAAACTAAATAAACTTTAGAAAAAAAAAGTTCAACTAGTATTAGTAACCCAGTAAACATACACTATTTGGCCCAATAGCGAACCAGACTCGGCTGCCAAGCTGTACCAGGCCTGGCACGCCAGCACCGTGCCAGCGCCGGGTTGCTCATTGGTTTTTCAAAGGGCCAGCATACGCAATTCAGTGATGGCGCAGCAACGTTTTGCTAGCAGCAAGCCAGCATTGATTCAACTTGGGCAAACGCTGGCAATCAGCGAACGTTGTACTAAACGCCTAAACTACTATACAAAACTGTCCAATTAAACTTCTTTTTTCATCAATTTTTCTAATTATACTTATTATATATATATATATATATATATATATATATATATATATATATATATAATATATATATATATATATATATATATATATATATATATATATATATATAATAAGACTTTAAAATTGGTGCCGTAAAAGCCAGATATGCACGTACCTAACACAAAAAAAAGTATATTAAATAAAACATATTCATATTATATAAATTTTTAATCATTTATGTTGAAATTAAATTTCTCTTTCAATAATTAAAATAGTCTTTCTGCGTTTAAAAGATTTCTTGCTTATTGCGCTATTAGCTTATTTTGTTTAATATAAAAATTTTTAAGTTTTATTTTTTACTATATATTACCTTTAGATTTAACGAATACAGCAAAATTATTTGAAATGATCAATACTGAAAACCACGGACTAGCAATCAACGATATTATAAATTCAGATGATCTTGATCTTACGGAACAGGACAAAGTGCAAATCAATTTAGCATTTGTAGGAGGTGGTGACCCAGCTCAAAAATTTATAGAGACTTTGGTTCAAGAACAGCCCAAATTACCTATCTCTGATTTAGAAAATGCCCTGAAAACTAATAATGTTTGCTATGACAAATTGACAAATTCTGATGAAACAATTTCAAATCTAAAATACAATTGGATTAAAAGTTTGTGCGTAAAACTAAATTTTGATAGTAAATGGCGCAATGTTGCAAGTACTCTAGGTTATACACAGCAAAAAATTATTTCATTTCAACTATCTCAAAAAAGAGAGAATAATTATTCTCAAGCAGAACGGCTATTTTCAACAATTCAACACCGAAAACCAAATTTGTCAGTTAAAGGCTTTATGGATATTCTTCATAGTTTAAACCAAGAAAATATATATCAGCATATGATAATAATGGTCAAGCAAGCAGCAAAGAAAGTTACAGTACCCATAGGAAATCAAGAAACTTCAAAAAACAATCAGGACTAGTATCACTTTTTAAATTTTATTTGTTATTTGATTTTTAATTGATTTTTTTGTTTGAAATGTTTGTAACGTTTGTTGTAAAATGTTTGTTGTGAAATGATTGTAACGTTTGTTGCTTTTTAACGAAAAACACAAGAAACTTAGTTCACTGTTTTTATTGTGAAAAGTGTCTGGTCCCGGTGGACACATCAACTTAGGTATTAACGTTTTATTAAGTTTTTGAAATGGAAATAATGAATAACGCTACATTTATTCAACGTTTGATTTTCCAACTTTATATTATTTTTCTAGTAAAAGTTGCCTGAAATCAGGACTCAAATCTTAGCCACCTGAATCGCTGTACAACGCACTATCCACTACGTTAGTGTAATTAAAGTACGTTGCTTACACTAAAGTAGCTTTTTACGCGTGACGTTTACACGTGACACAACAACATAACATTGGTTACACCTAACCGTTAACATCGAACAACTAAATCTATTGTTTTAAAAATGTTTCTTATTGCAACGGTAGATTTAGTTGGTTGATGTAACCCAACAAAACTTATTGTTTGATTGGTCGGTGTTTGCCAAACCTAACTTAAATCCAATTTTAATTCAACGTCGTGTGTCCTCTGCGCTCTTGCAATTATAATAATATAATTTTAAAACGACCGGGGAAAAAAGAAGACACAATTCATCTCATCGCCAAGCCTCGAAAATTAATTTTGTAAAGTATAAACTATTACTTAAGTCAAATATTACTCGCAAATAAAATAAAAGTTACCAAAATAGTAGTTTTTTCTCACTTTTTAAATTTTTGGTCATTTATTTAAAAATGAAATGTTTCCTAAAAGAATCTGACGATTCATAGATTTGTATTGCCGTACTACACAATTTAATTAAAAACTTGCGCAGCTTATCAAATATTCGTTAATTTAAATTTGTTTTTTAAGCTCATTTAATAAGCTCTTTAATTACGTGTGGTTGACATATTTATTCTTCATAAAACAAATTAGTGATAATAAATTATATATTTTATCGTCCCTGGTTCCTAATAAAGAGACCTTTTTTTTTATTTTATTTTCAATTTAAAATATGCATCCGTTTTAAAATATAAAATATAAAAACCAATCATGGCTTATTTAAACTACACGGCCTGATTTGTTGCATTTTCCGTAAAAAATTAAGAGGCCAGTTTTTTTACGGCTCTAGTATAAAAACTTAATTTTCGCTATGGTTATAAGTCTTCTTTGCACTATAATTGGTTTATTCTGATTTTATTAAAATGGTTTAATAATAGTTAGATTTTATTAGAGTACTTACATTATTTTGTGCTGGATTTTTTGTTAACTGATTGCCTGCTTCAGTTTATTCCAATTACACAGAATACTGAAATAGGCTTTCAGATAGCTATATCAACACATACCAACATGCTACTAAAAATAACCTTACATGTTGCTAAAACTACCCACAACTCTCCATTGGAAATAATTTTAAAGTTTTGTATTTTTGTATTTATTATAATTGCAGTTATTAGATATAAAAAATCGATTTTTCTTTGAAATATTTTCACTGCAAAACAACGTTTTGAAATGTAAATACTCTACTATCTTGTGTTTCATACATACAGCAATTAAATTGCAACAAAACAGGCCAAGAAATATCAGGCATACAAACTGTTTTGGAGTCAATATCTATTAATAAAATTCTTAACTTTTCATTGCTTTTTAACATTTCAATGCTTATTATATTTCATATTTTCATATTTCTTTATGAAAATGGTTTCGCTGTGTTGAAAATTACAAATTAAAAAACTATATTATATTAGAAATATTATTGACAAAAATTTATTGTTAAGTGATTATCTGCTTCTTGTGGTTAAGAAGTACTTCCAAAAAGCAGTTCAATCTCAAAGCTGTAAACAATTTGATAAAGATTGAGAAAATAATCTTTATAAAGTTGTTTTTGTTTTTATTTTAAAATCCTCACCAAATGTTTACATAACAAGTTTATGTTTGAAAAAAGAAATTGATTAGTGTATTACCTCAATGCACCAATCTGAATTCAAGATAAGGGCTGTTGTGACAGATAACCATTCTGCCAATGTTAATGCATTAATATAGTTTCATAAAGCATATATTGGTGATGGAAAACTATTAATTTATTATTCAGTTTAAAAAAGGAGTGTATAAAACATACTTATTATTTGATATACTTCGTTTTATAAAAAATGCAAGAAAAAACTTATTAAACGCAAAAAAAAAAAAAATTATTCTTTTTCATTTAATTTTTCCAGAGACTATGTAAAGTTACTGCTAGTTACATTGCAGGGAATATACTTTTTAAAGTTTATTAAAAGATTAATTATTAAACAGGCAAGTAAAACTAATTATCAACAAACAAGTTGTCAACATTGATAATATTTGACGAAACAACTACAGCTGTAATTTAGACTTATTTTTCTGAAAGAAATAATGCAACACACTTTAATCATTATTTTATAAGTTATTTATCATACTTAATTCAAAGCAGAAACTTAATTTATCCAATCAAACTCAACAAAGCTGATAACAAACCCACACTTTATAGAGAAATTGGAAATAGTACTGAAATTTAATCAAAATAAAATTTGATAAATACTTTACATTAACCAAAAAAACTTCTTGTGCTCTTTAACAACCCTACAAGCAACTGTATTTATTATGAATGATTTTTTTGAGAAAGGCTTTGCAGTTGTTAATAGTTCTTATTTACAAAGTAATCTTTTGGAGCTAGGTTTTAGTAAGTATAATTAAAAACATGCATTAGTAAAAAAGTAATTATAATTAGAAACATGCATTAGTAAAAAGATTTTCGCGGATTTTCCGAAAAAATATTTTATCACAATTTTGATAATCATTTAAAAATATTATGCAAGATTTAGCTTAGTTGTCTACATAATTACTAGTGTCAGCTTTTTAAAAATAGCACAGACTTATATACTAAAGAAAGGAATAAAGGTAAAAATTAACAAAAAGATTTTGATGATAAATTTATGATTAATAAATGTTACTTTATTTTTTTTTTTTTCTCTTATTCAAATAAAATACTGAAGTCATTCTTTTTCAATTAAAAATTTGCAAAACAAATTTTATAAATTGTTGTAGCAATGACAATTTTACTAATGAAAAGCACCAAAAGTGGGGAATCAAACAAAGATCTTGTATTGTTAACAATATTTTTATAACAATTTGCAAAAAGAAGTTACATATTCATTGAGTAAAGATCAAGTAAAAAAATTACAAAAAAAGCAAAGACAAGATATATATTCCTAGTAAAAGGTATTTTTTCTTTTAATTTCAATTATAAAAAATACAAAACTACAAACCTTTGATTTTTTTTTTTTCAATAAAGAGTTTGAGACAATCTTAGCAACATGTAAGATTATTTTTAGCAGCATGTTGGTATGTGTTGATATAGCTATCTGAAAGCCTATTTTAGTAACCTGTGTTATTAGAATAAACTGAAACAGGCGATCAGTTAACAAAAAATCCAGCACAAAATAGTGTGAGTACTCAAATAAAATCTAACTATTAATAAAACATTTTAATAAAGTAAGAATAAACCAATTATAGTGCAAACAAGACTCATGACCATATCGAAAACTAAGTTTTTATACTTGAGCCGTAAAAAAACTGGCCTCTTAATTTTTTAAAGAAAATGCAACAAATCAGGCCGTGTAATTTAAGTAGGTCATGAACCAATTGAAAAATTACTTGATTGTTAGTATAAAATAGTAGAACACGGGGGCTTGCAAAAAATAAATTTTTTTTCTCGTTAAGAACCGCTAAGAAGTTTACTTGTTTAAATATCATAACAATAAAATAATAAGAAAATAAATATACAAGAAGAAACTTTCTTAATTTAAAAAAATTCGATTTTTTAAGGTAATGTTTTTTTAAACATTTTTACTCCCAACATGGTTGCAAACAACCTCTTTTAGAGTTAAAAGTTACTGGAGGATTAAAGATAAAGTTGCTCTTAGCTGTCATTTTCAGTTAGATTTTGCATCGCCTCTTATACATAATTGTATTCTTTTTTTTAAAAAAAAAAAAAAGAAGAAGAATAGAGTAATGTATAAGAAAGGATGCAATAATCTAACGGAGAACAACATGCTGTTTTGTAAGCAATATTTATTTTAAAAAAATTCCACTGAGCACACAGTAGTTGAACTTTTTAATTAAAAATCTAACGCTTTAAATAATTACTGTTTTACGTTAAGAATTTTCATTGATCGGTCAAAAGATTTGATAACGTCACAATAAACTAATAAAATAATCTTAATAAACCAATAAAATCACAATAAGTGATTTATTTGTGAAGCGAAATGTGGAGGGAAATCTACGTAGTGAAAAGTAAAAATTTACATTGTTTCAAAGGGTATTTGATAAACTGAGATTATTTTATATACTATGACAAAATATATGTTTTAACATATGTTTCGAGATATCACAGCGGATAAAATAAAAAATATATTTTTTAAGTAATGTATGTTTATAAATTAAAAAAAAAAATTTCCTGTAAAATTACTAAATTTTAAAATTAATACAAATTTTTTTAAAAAGAAAGCATATCTAAACAGTTTAGGAGTAAAACTAGTTTAGAAGTAAAAAGTTTAGGAATCAAAGGATTTGAATGAAATTTTACAGTGCACGGTCGTTTAGATGAGGAAAGTTATTATACGCAAGCGCAGTGTCAAATTCAAATATTATAATTTTAAAGATGGTGACGGCCTTTAGATACCAAAATTCTTTCTGAGTAGCAACAAATTTTTAAAGTTTTACTTAGTAGTTATTATTTGCATATTTTTGATAGAATGAAATAATAATAAAGATAATTGAATTGTTGATTCAAAAATGATAAAAACAATATAAAGATGTTTAAATATATAAAAAACTGTGATTCTCTGCTACATTTATCTGACTGTTAAAAGCGTGATTTGTTTACATTTTCAAAACTGTTTTTCTAAAAATCTGAGCGATACAATTTAATAATTTTTACTTTTTTATTTCGAATAGTCTTATCTTGATTTGAAATTGTTTTCAGATCTGAGTATTCAATTTTTTTCTGAACAAAAATAGAATTCATCCAACACTACTTTCGTAGATGTATCAGGGTTAGGG